ATGGAGGAGGAGGTTGAAATTAACCTAGCTCCTCGCATCCCTACTGATACGATTCTGCGATTTCGGGTCGAGCAAGGGCAATATCCATGGTCTTATGTGAATTTCAATAATCATATAAGTCCTGCCCATAGTTGGGAAAAATGGACGGACGCGATCCTTGCGAACCCGGTGTACGAGGCAATTTTAAATGCAGCAAGCTTGACCCCGTGTATTAAGCTGTTTCGCCAAATACATATTCCTCGCGACACTGTCAGTTTATGGGAACTGACTTCGCGATGGAGCTCAAGCTCGCCCACTTTCGTTACTACATGGGGAGAGTTTACTCCCACTATTGAGGATTTGAGCCAGTTGCTAGGGCTACCTTTTCAAGGGGTAGAGAATCCTGGCTCTTGGGAATTTGTGCAAGCTAAAGAGACTTTGGCTCATGATCTCGAGATGGCTTTGGAGAAAACCAAAGATTTCAAGTTATTGTGGAGCGCACAGGGTGTTCGCCATGCTGAACGAGGCAAGGGTACACGCAAGGCCACTCTTGGGGCTTTGGTGCGATACTATTTTAAGGATTTCCCAATGACAAAAAAGAATCTCTCAGAGGAGGGAAGAAAGGGAATTCCAGGTCCCTGGATTGATCATTCTTCCAGTCTCGCGGCTTACTTACTATGTTAGCTATCGAGATACCTTTTCGAGGGGACTCCAGAAAATGCTCCACAGCTGCAACTTATAGATCTCGTGGTGAAGCTGGCGAGTGGTGTGAAAGTGGCCCTCGCACCTCTCTTTTTAGGAATATTGTACCATCGTCTCGATATGGTGTGGGAAGACATGGCACAGTCTGTGGGGCACTATGTCCATTACTCCTACGTGTCTACCATCTTTCTACAAATGTTCCTGTACGAAAGGTTCCAATCTTATGCTCCCATCCCAGCAGACTTGGCTGTGGACGAGGAGGTAGTGCGAGGCATGAAGTGGCACGGTCGGTTGGGATAAGCCTTAGACCAAAGCTTCTAATTCATTAGTTATCCTTATGCTGCGACCCTGCCTGGGGCCTTAACTCTGCCCATGTATTTTGATGATAATGAGCACATTCCAACAGTTGCTCATCGTTTGAACGCAAGCGAAGTATTGGTGTTTCTGTTAATGACCACCCCTGGCTACTTGCCCGCGATATGGGAAGGGGGCCAAATATCGAAGACATACAATCTTTGCAGAGTCCCTCTACAATTTGGCTATGATAGAGGGGTACCCTCGCAGTACATCTTTATTGAGGGCGAGGACTCCTACGAGAGTAACTTTGTAAGGTTTGTAACAGCTTATATTAGGCTACTTCATGAAAGAATTGGCATTGTCTTCCCGCCAGGGAGGGGCAGGATTTCGAGGTGAACAGAGACAGCTCGCTCACTCTGGGTTATAGAGTTAGCGAGTTGGAAAGATTTCTGTCAGAGTCGTACCCAACGCGCAAAGGCGTTGGTGATCTATATGGGGAACCATTCGCTGAGGCCTCCTATAGAATTTGACAGGGGGGACTTCTATAGCTTCGCCCCTGATCCTGTACCAACTAAAATGTAGTAAAGGGAATCCTCGCAACCTGTCATGGCGACTGCTACCCTGTTGTCGAGGCAGCCCCAGCGCTTGTCCGTAGGCACAAGACAAGGGCCACTTCACGTATAAACCTTCCCCCCTAGTAAATAAGCAGCTGTAAGCACTACAGAGCTAGCCATTGCTACCACGAGGGAGGAGAGTATAAGGCCTCCAGCGCCAAGCACATCTCGACCCGTGGCCTCCTCAAGCAGAATCCCACTCGTGGATGAACCAACTGAGAGTGAGGATACTACCACTTCTGAAGATGATGAGGAACAACCTCTCATTGGAGAGCATGGCTCGATGGCTGCAGCCTTTGGGCTGGGGCAAGGTAGGTCGCACAGGCTTTACCGGGTGCGAGATCGTGGAATTGACAACACTATCCATGACATAAGCTTAGGCGAGGTACTAGCTTCTGACAGTGAATTTCCAAATTTATCTACTTTTAACTTTATGCAAGCCTTAGGTGAGAGTGCCTTATATTGTTATGGTCAAGAGGACACCTCAGCGAGGGCAAGAGAGGAAGAAATGGAAGAGCTAGCGTTGGATGTCTCGCCTCTCATCACCGTTTGAGACGTACCTGTGTGTACCCATGCCGCTGAGGTGGCAGAGATGATGCGAGAGTATGTGAGTGCTATAGCACCACCTCGAGCTAATGTTGACATTGCCGAGGCCACAATACTTCCCGGAGAAAGGGAAGATTTGTCTTGAGATGATGCCCAAGTGAGGGTTAAGGATAGGTCAGAATCCCCGACCCCTGAGGTGACAATTCGCTTGGGCGAACCTGTAGTTTGCCCCTGCAAGATAATACAGAGACAGTGCCGAGATTTCCTATGGAAGTGCGAGAGCCTTCGCAACCTGGGGACGAACATATGGGAAAGCAAACCTCCTTCGAAAGGGATGGGGCCCCTGATTGAGAACACCAAGCCTTGGCCTTAGAAATACAGGAGGTAGGGCAGGCTTCTCTTGTGAACAAGGAGACTTTACAAGAGGAGAGGGTTCAATCTTCTCCTTTGACGGAGTTGCACCCCTCACCAGTCCTTCTTGCATCACAAACTGAGACCACTGTGGTGAATGTCATGGCTACCCCAGCGAGACAGTCCACAGTTCCCACAGTTGAGCAAACTACAACAGGCTCCGTGGGTGAACAATTTATTGCTCAAACAGAATGGACCCCTCGACCCCTTGGTGAGCCAACTTTGGGGACTTAGCAACTTGCAGTTAGTGGTGCGGGAATGCAAATGGCTAGTGCAGAAGTGGAGTGGATGGGTATGCCATTCCCTCGTGCCTATGTACGACTCCTCGAGACAGCCCTTGCACATCATCCTGAGGTTTCACAATTTCTATCTTCGCGTCATGCGTATGTGCAACAATCCATGTACCTATGCCTTGGCAAAATTTTGGAGATTTTTGTAGAAATCGAGCAGGGTGCGCGACCGATGAAGTCCTTGTCAAGGAGGCTACACTCCTATTAGATGATGTTCAGAGGCTCGAGATTCCTGTTTTGTGGCTGCGACAGCGACTATATATGGCTGGGAAATGTCTACAGCAGTGACTGCTCGCACCACACCTTCAGGAAACACGAGCTCGGATTGAAAAATTGGAGGGGGAGCTCGCACAAGAGTGAGAAAGCTTGGCATTGATGGTGGCATACTCGCGGGAGCTCGAAGATGATTACTCGTTACTGTCTTCATATGCGGATTAGACTCATAGGTTGTTTTTTAGTTATTGATGTAGACATGAGTCAAGGACTCTATAATTGTAATCAAATAACATTGAATAAGAAAATTTGTGATTGTCTCTCTCTTTGGTTTTGTTCTCTCTTTCTCTTGTCATGATTTAATTTTTTTTTTTTTTTTTTTTTGCAAGAACTCGAAGCATGTACCAAATTGAATAAGAAAATTAATTTTCATTGGGGGTAGCCAAGCTTAACAAAAGTAGGGCTTCAGCTAGACATTATTAATGGGGCTATGATCAGAGCCCTCGAGTGTGCTATAACCACTATCGCTAGATGTCTTGACAATATAGGGGCCCTCCTAATTAGGTGAGAACTTGGGGGCTTAGAGACCGCGCATAATGTGTGGAGCAGCTTTAAGAACGAGCTGGCCTGGTTTGAACTGTCAAGGTTGGACATGGTTGTTGTATGCTCGCGCTATGTTGTGCTGGTATTGCTGAAGATGCTGCAAGGCTGCCACACGTCGCTCATCGAGGGCCTCCAACTCATTAGCTTGAGATATGGGAATCCCGCTCTGCGAGGCAAGCTACGCCGCAGGGACTGCAATATCAATCGGCAAAATAGCCTCCGTTCCATAGACAGGGGAGAACGGAGTTTGACCAGTAGAACGTTTGGTGGAAGTGCGATAAGCCCAGAGTGCTAGAGGCAATTGTTCCACCCATGTGGTAGGTTTTTCTTCGAGCGTTCGACTTAAGATTCGGATGAGATTCTTATTTGAAGCCTCTGCTTGGCCATTACCTTGTGGGTAATATGGCGAGGAACGCTTATGCTGGACATTGTACTGCCTGAGAAATCGCTTGACTTTATGATTAATGAAAGGAGTACCATTGTCAGTGAGAAGGCACCGAGGGATTCTGAAGCGACAGATGATATTTTCTTAGATGAAAGCCGCGACAGCCCCACCGGTGGCGTGCTTAAGAGGGACCGCCTCAATCCATTTAGTGAAGTATTCTGTTACAACGAGAATCCACATATGACCTCGCACCGGTGGATGGATTGGCCCAATAAGATCCAGTCCCCATGTATGAAATGGCCAAGGGACTTCAATAGGGTGGAGGGGTGTAGCCGGCGTATGGATCTGATGATGGTGATGTTGGCAAGGTCTACATTTTTGTACATGAGACTTGGCATCGCACTCCATAATAGGCCAATAAATTCCCTTTTGTAACAAGTGCGCAAAGAGCTTGCACGAGCCTTGATACTCCAATTGATGAGCCTCCTTCAAAGCTTCCATGGTGTCATTGTAAGACAAACACCGCAGATACATACCATTGAGGGTACGGTGAAAGAGTTCACCCTCCCGAAGCTCGAATCGTGTAGATTTCCTCTTTACCTTTGCAGTAGTTTGTTTATCGTCTGGAAGGGAACCATGCGAGAGGAAATCAATGAACGGGCGATGCCAATCAACCATCTCGAGAATACAAGATTTGGTCTCATCTAGTATAGCCTGACATCGCAGACAGGTGCACTACAGGATGTTGGCCAGAGCTGCCATATCTGGCTAATAATAACCCTGACGCTGGAGTCGTCGGTATAACGCCAGAGGTATAGCACAGTGCTGCCCGTGAGTCGCTATGAGAACTGCTTCAGCATCGCGAAGGCCCAAACATCTAGCTAACATTCCACATGGCAGGCAAAAGTATAGGAGACCCTGCAAGAGTTGGAATGATTTCAATTGTGTGAGAGGTAGTGGTCATGTCCACTGCTTGAGCTGACTAATGATTGGGGCTCGCCAGTCATTGTCGGGAACAGTTTGGGCCGGGAAAAGCTCAGTGATGGTAGTCGGACCAATGCGCTTGGTGATGCGGATCTGAGTCATATCATCTACAATTGTTAGTTTAGAGGCTAACGTTGCAAGTGCATCTGGGTACCTATTATTGGAACGAGGTACATACAAGAACCGAATGGAGGAGAATCTAGCGAGGAGCCTTTGAATATTGGTACGATAAGATGCGAGCGAAGGTTTGCGTATGGTATACTCACCTGTTACCTGCTTAACAACTAACTTGGAGTCCCCGCATACGCATAATCTTGAGATGCCTTTGTCAAGGGCTACGAGAAGGCCAAGAATGAGTGCTTCATACTCGGCTTCGTTGTTAGAATAGCGAAAAGCCAGTTTGAAGGCCGCAATGACATGCTGAGTTGGCGAGGTGAGGACGATACCTGCCCATCCTCCCTTGCTAGTAGAAGACCCATCAAAAGTGAGTTGCCACTCACTGCGACTATCTTTAATGGCGGAAACCTGGAGCTCATCAAGGGGCAATGCGTCGTCAAGGGGCTCATGCCTCTGCTCGGGGAACTGTGCGAGCAAATCTGCTAAAGCTTGGCTCTTAATACCCTGTGGTGGAAAACATGTAATATCGAACTCTAAGAGAGCTAAAGGCCATCGCGACACTTTTCCTGAGATGATTGGCTTAGAGAGGAGGTGTCTATACGGGTCGCACTTTGTGATCAAATAGACGCGATGGGCCATGAAGTAATGTCTAAACTTCTGTGCAGCGAAAACAAGTACGAGGCAATGACGCTCGATGGCTGAGTAGCGAGCCTCAGCCTCGTGTACAAGGCGACTGAGATAATAGACTGGTCGTTCTTACCCGTCGACTGTTTGCACGAGAAGAACCCCAATAGACTTGTTAGTTGAGGTAAGATAGAGAAGTAAAGGCTGTTCCTTGACAGGTGGGTGCATGGTGGTCGAGGAGGTAAGAATAGCCTTAATCTTCTCGAAGGCTACTTGATGAGCTACTGTCCAAAGGAATTTGGCATTCCCTTTAATCAATGTGCTGAAAGGGTGAGAGACTTCGGCAAGAGCTGGTATGAACCTACGCAAATACGAAACTTTGCCCAAAAAACTTTTGAGCTGTTTAAAGGAGTAAAGGTGGGGCATATCTGTAATTGCACGAGCTTTGGTGGGGTTGAGGTCAATCCCTTGGCGATGCACCGAAAAGCCTAAAAAATTGCCGCGACGTACCCCGAATGTGCACTTAAGGGGATTCATATGTAGATTGTACATACGACACCGTTCGAAAACTCGATGTAAATCGTAGAAATGATCTTCTCGCAGTTTGGATTTCACCACCAAGTCGTCGACATAGTCTTCCACTGTGTGATGTAACATATCATGAAAGATGGCAGTCATGGCTCTTTAATATGTGGCTCCAGCATTCTTTAACCCGAAGGGCATGACAGTATAGTGGAAATTGCCAAGTGGTGTCCGAAATGCAGTCTTGTGGGCATCTCCCTTGGCCATCCATATCTGATTATAGCCACTGTACCCATCCATGAAGGAGAAAAGTGAATGCCCGGCTGTTGCATCAACCAGTGTGTCTATGATAGGAAGAGGGAAATCATCTTTCGGGCATGCCTCGTTGAGATCGTAAAAATCGACGCAAATCCGGATTTTCTCGTTCTTTTTATTCACAGGAACAATGTTTGCCAGCCAAGTTGGATGTAAGATTGGCCTAATGAAACCTGCGAGGAGCAAGTTTTCGACCTCTGTCTTAATCTGATGCTCGAGCTCAAGACGATAGACTCGAGGTACTTGTTTGATAGGGCGCGAGCTTGGGATGGTACTGAGATGATGTGTCACGAGTTGGGGGTCTAGACCTGGCATCTCGCTATAGGTCAATGCAAAAATGTCTGAGAATTCTTTCAAGAGGCAGATGAGGCTATCTCGCAACAATGGGTCCAATTAAGAGGAGATGAAGTCGTCCATGACTCTCGTCTAACGGAGGCGAGATTGACTTCCTCGAGATCCGGCAGTTGTAGTGGCTCCTCCTCTATACTCGTAGGCTCGACAACTAGGTTCGCCGAAGCTGAGCCCGTATACTATTATAAGCGGTAGACATATCACCCATCAGGCAGTCTGACTCGTTTGCACTCCCGCAAGGTAGCGACCTCTGCGCTGCGACGAGGAACATATCATTGTGGAGGGTAAAAGATGCCTTACTGTACCTCGTCCCACTTGGATAACAGAGTACGAATTTTATGTGCCTCTCCTTCTTCATCCTCATCATCTAACTCATCAAAGAAGAGAGCCTCAGTAAAGTGTGCCTCGTGTTTGGCAAAGGGCTTATCAGAGCACGGCACCTTGACGACTTTGTTGCCCAAAATGCCTTTGAAACATTGATGGCAGGTAGAGGCCACTATGCCGAAATGGTGCATCCACGCCCGCCTGAGGAGCACATGGTAGGAGGTATCAACCTTGATGACATGGACTTGGTGGGAGCTCAAAATCTACCAACTGCTAGATCAACATTTACATAGCCGAGAGTCTGGTAGGATTCATTGCCGAAGCCATAAACTTCGATGGCCTCCTTGACAAGGTGATCTTGGGGCAAACCAGCTTTCTGAAAACTGGCCTATGGCATGATATTAATGGAACATCCATTATCTAGAAAAGCACGCCGGAACTCCCATCAATTGAGTTGTGCAGTGACATAGAGAGGACTATTCTGAGGAGTAGAGGCCCTCTTGTCAGATTCGGAGAAGGAAATGGTCAAAGGAGCCTAGTGAAAGGGGGGTTGACTTGACGAAGTGGCTGTACAACATTCTTCTTCATCGTGTTATGCTTGAACCTTTGATTACATTAGATTGGTTTCTTCCAACTGATCATAATACGTGACCATAGCCACACCACGATGACGAGGGTATGGATTGCGCCGCACATCGTTTGGCATGGTCAACTCGAGATCATCACCCTCAAGCCGTTGCTGAAAATTCACCTCAGAGTCCTACAAGCACTTGTTGGATGCATAGTGGCTTGATGAAAAAAATAGAAATTTGGGCTCGCACAATCCTGCGCGGTTAGCTCTTTGTGAGGAACAGGTAGCACGACTACACCATGTTTGACCCACTGCTTGAGGGTACTGGCAACTTCTTCCATACATACTGGGAATGGGGGAGGATCAATTGTTCGCTCAACTCAAGATCCCTTGTGTAACAGCCCACTCCACCACATGGTATGATATTATCCGCTTTGGGCCTGAGCCAATGCAGTTTTGCTCTTGGGCTTTACCCCAAAATGCCTCACACCTATTAGAGTGACACTCTTACATATAAGCACTTCACCTTTCCCTTTCTCAGGCAATGTGGGATTGTACACTTGTAGCTCGTCGGTGTGGTAGCCTGTTAGTGTCTCGCACCCGCCCACGGCACACCCGCCCACAGGGTCGTCACAATCCACCCCCCTTGGAGGGCCGACATCCCCGTTGGCACAATTCTGGCTGGGTCAAGCTCTAATACCATTTGTATCATACCATTTGGTGGAGTGGGTCGTTACAAATGGTATCAAAGCCTGATCCAGCCGGAAGTGTGCCAATGGGGACGTCGAATCTCCAAGGGGGGTGGATTGTGATGACCTTGTGGGGGCGTGTACCGTGCACGGGTGCGAGAGACACTGTCAGGCTACCACACTGGCGAGCTACGGGTGCACAGTCTCACATCTCCTGGGTAGAGGAAAGGTGAAGTACTTATATATAAGTGTATCATCTCCAATTGGTATGAGGCCTTTTGGGGTGAAGCCCAAGAGCAAAACCGTGCGGGCTCAGGCCCAAAGAGGATAATATCATACCATGTGGTGGAGTGGGTCATTACACCTTGGCCCTAACATCTGCCTTGAGACGTTTTTTTGCTCTGTCATTGCGAGGAGCAACCGACGTATCTTTGCGAGTTACTTGTCCAGCGACCTCTACCTTGGGAGGTGCGAGATCCTTACAAATGTTCCGTACAACTGCGGTGAAATCGCTAAAGCTGTTGAGACCCAAATTAACCAAGTGTATCCTGTAGGGCTTAGTCATGCCCTGTATGCAAATATCAACCAGATCCCTTTCACTGCTACCCTTGAAGCATTCCCTCGCACGGGCTTGGAAGCGAGAGATGAACTTGAGGGGCTCCTCGTGCGGTTCTTGCATTTCTTTAGTGAGGGAGGGGGTGGTGACCCTCTCGATGGCTTGGCCAAACTTGTCGTGGAACTTCTGGGAGAACTGTTGCCAAGTGGTGATCGAGTCTTACTCGAGGCTGCGAAACCACCTGTACGCGAGCCCTGTTAGAGACTTGGAGAATTCTCAAAGGTGCAGGATCTCGTTACGGCTATGCTGGCCTAGAGATTCCATGAATCTCTGCAAGTGCTCATCGGCATCCCCTTTGACACCGTCATACTTAGGAAATTTTGGGATAATGTACCCCTGTGGGTTTGGCGTCTGAGCCAAGCTTTTTAGGTACGGAGGCTCTGTACGCAATACTAATACAAGTGTAGCGGATGGGGCATGCTTAATGAAAAAATCAAGTAGCATGGATTTAGTGACATATTCTGGGGAAGGGTTTGCTGGTGGAATCGCCTGAACTATGGTGGGTTTTAGGGCTGCCAAGGCTTGCGTCGGCGGATACCACAGTGGTGGCACATGAGTAGATGAACTGCTTGGCTGATCATTCTCAAGCAGGGCCACCCTAGTGGGAAAAATAGTTCTGGCTCGTGCACTTTGCATAATCAAGGCTTCCAACCTGTCAAGGCGGTCATTAAGATTACGGTTGGATTGTAACAATTCCTTGTGAACGGAAGGGGCTGCTGAGCTTTCCGGCATTGTGATATGTGGTGCGCGAACATTGGAAGCAGGTGATGGTGCTTGGGATTGAAGAGGAGAGTCACCACCTCCTCCAACAGAGGGCTATGAATGGTGAGTTGGCATATCCTGTGATTCCATCTGGTTGTACTGATATCCTCAGCGGAGTCGCCAAAATGTAGGGGTTCTTTTCTACTAAATAATAAAACAGCAATATAATAAAGATATCAGGAATACAAATACAAAGGAAAACAGAGGAGATGCTCAGTGTAGGAGGAGGAAAAGAAGACTAACTATCAAAATAAAGATGGTGATAGGGCGAGTATACAATATCTCATGACAACTTTTCTTCTTTCAGGTTTGTTTTTTTTTTTTCTTCATAGGATAGTGCCATTTATAGATCTGGATCCCATTGGTTATTATCCAATGGTTCTTTCAATTCATGGTCCCTCGCATGCATTACCCCCAATCTGGATTACGTAAGTAATCCTGGAGATTTACGAGTCTGAAAGGTCTAATCCTTTCCTCGAGCCTTGTCCCATGTTGCCATGTCACTTCTTCCTTAATCAGGGGCATTAAATGTTGCTTGGCCATCGGTTGGTCAACCCTGATATAGCATTAATTGTGATTTTAAGGTTTGCTGTCACGACATATATAATCCCATCATCTTGTTAATTGGGCCTTGCCGAGAGTGAAGGCACCTCTTAACATCTCATCCACCAATCCAAGATCCTCCTAAGTTTCCCAAATATGGATTTCTATAACACGGAGATCCTACCTTCATCTCGTGCTAAGGAGCTCCAGCCTTTCAAAGCAGTACTGTCTGGCGTAACACCAGGGTTCGAGGTATTCGAGAGTTGGTCTCTCGAGGCTTGATGGGCCTGGCGTGGTGCCAGGGCTTGGGATGCTCGAGGAT